TTCCTCTCTCTTGCCGCATATACCTCTTTTGAACAGAAAATTGTCATAAGGAACTTATAAACAATCAAGAAAAATACATGCCTGAGATTTCAATTTTCTTTTCAGAACTCATGCGAACATGAATAAAGTTGAGCCAACACACAAGAAAGTCTGAGAGATAAAGAGAGCAATAGACGACCTTGCTTCAGTCGGTCAATTTCTGAGTACAAATCTTTGATTAATGCAGATTTCATCATCTTCTGATTAACCTGATATAATAACCAAGTACTTTAAGTACTATTCAGAGAAATGAAGCATCTAAAAGAGAAAATAGGAGAAGAGCGTTTATGGATACATTTAAATATTTTTTGTGGATACATATAATTATTTAAATTAACATCACCAAGACTACTGACCTCCGGTTTGTTCTTTATGTTCTTGGCGCGGTGAGCATAATCTAAAGTGCTGAGTGTCTCTTCTAAACTATGAATAGAGGGTGATATTGTGGCAATTATACATGTCTTTGTTTTCCCTCCCAAGGAATCTCTTAGCAACCTTGTTAATTTGCTATCCCTGAAATTTCAAAGTGACATATTTTACATACCTATACATTTACTTACATGCTTTGCTACAGTAACACAGTTGAGAAAATGATAAAAACCTATACCTATATGGTATATGACCAGAGTGCTCGACCAAAGCATTTATGACACGACCAAGTGTCAGCAAGCTCTTGTTGATCTCACCCGCTTCTCTTGCTCTACCCTGCAAAAGCCTTTTTACACATCATGACATGTGGGAGCAGAATGTCGTTAAAATATACCCATCAAATTATAAAATCTTATTAACCCAGTATGTTTAGTCCTGTTAAACATATTTTAAAAATGCGTGAATTGTCATCACAACATAGCAGTGATATGATACTATGCGATGTCCAACCTCTCTAGCTCCAGAACGAGAAATATTCTCTGAGCCAGCAAGGTCAACAAGATTGAGCTTCCCACATTTGATCATCTCCTCTCCTTCTGGGGTGCACTCCTTGATATGAATTGTGATGGAAAATAGAGAGTGAGAACGGCTGCTCTGTTTGTTTAGAAGGGTCTCTGCAGTTCTCCTTTTAGCCGAACCTTTCTCCAGGATTCTATATATTTCATTTGCAGTGGTCACAATCTCCTCTTCCAATCCTCTAACAAAAACTCCACCTTTACCATCCTCCATGAGTGCTATTGGTTTCTTGGATTTTTCTTCCGTGAATTTTGAACATTCCTCTGGTGCCAAAAGATCCGTTATCTCCTCGTTGTACAACTCCAAAAATGTTACTTTCATGTTATACTCTGCATTTTGAGCTTCTAATATATCAAAAATTTGTCGGACAGCTCTCGGAATAACACCTGCATCACTTGGAAATTCCCCAATCTAAATGGGAAGAAAAATCAAATTACTGACAAAGAGTTATAAACATTTAAAATGCTCTACGAATATGGTTTAATGTCAAGATAAAACCCTAACCTTTTTCCTTGCACCACCTTCCATTGTGTAAGTCTTTCCAGTTCCTGTAATCAGAGAATGAAAGAAAATAAAATCAAAAGACAACAGAACGTGCTTATTTAATTAATGCAAAACCCATAGTCTTGAACTCTGAAGTGGGATCAATCATCAAAATTTTCCAGTTCTTAATTATCTCATCCTTTTCTCTTAGGCTTGAGTCCTTATTCTTTTTCGATTATAAGATTTATTAAAGTGGAAAACCTTATCAAATTGAAAAGTTCTATCAATCTGCTTATTAGCAATATTCTGAACTGCACAAACTTCTCTTCTGTTCTCATTGCAAGAAATAACCACCGGTGTGTGCAACCTAGTCTCATCCTCACTCAGTGGCCTGCAAAGAAAATTCAATAGAACTTATCAATTTCATTCATCTAATCCATTCAATCCCCAAACAAAAAATCTAAAGTAAAACTCGATCAACTCACCGGCAGCGCAGTACGACTTGTACATTGACGCCTTTATCCTTATCATGCTTCCCACTCGTATTCCCCTCAACGGATCGCAGGTCTCTCGCCGCCTTATCGCTCGACCGTGGCGTATGTGATGGAGATATAGGCACCATTCCTCCTCCTCCCCTCCTCTGCGAAGCCTCCATTTTTTTTTAAAAATCAATTACTCTCCAAATCTCTCAAATTTATTTACCTTTACCCTTCACAGCATACAAAAGTGAATATGTCAAATATAAAATTTTTAAAAATAAATTGAAAATGGACGATTCATCGATGTTCAAAAAGAAAAAAAAAATGACAAGGCAAATAAGTAAATACATACATCACACATGAATAGATACTTACAGATGATTTGAATTTGAAAGGCCGGCAGCAGAATAGAAGCTTGAGATACGTATACAAATGGCGATGATATAGAGACAATATAGTAACTAGAGAGGAATTTTGCTATTTGCTAGAAAGAGTTTTGTGAAGTTGTGGATTTTTTTAGATTAAATTAAAAATATAGATACAGTAGAGAGAGAAGATGAAAATATGGCCGTTACGGAGCGTTTGAATTTTGTGAGGCGATAGAGAGACCATCAGAGATGACGGTGTTAAAATTCCCGTTTGAAGAGTATTTCTGACCGTTATATAATTATTTTGAAAAGAAACCCAGTTTTCCATAGTATTATGCAATTGTACAAAATGTGTTTATAAATTTAGTGGACAAAATAAGTATTGGCAAAATTCAGACAATTGATTTTCACTGATTTAAAAATTAATTTTTAAAATGATTGGTGTAGATATTAGGATTAATAGCACAAAACGTCCCTACGTTTGACACATATTACGGAAAATATCGTTACGTTTCATTCTTTTACATTTTCGTCCTTATTTCAACGTTTCATTGCAGAAAACGTCATTTTTTCACTATTCGTGAATATAAAATGACCAAAATACTCTCCTACTTAAATAAAACCAAAAGAAAGAAAAGAAAAATAAAGAATAACTTGCAATATTATTCCTAAATGTTTTAAAAAGTGCAAGTGAGTCCAAATAATTATTAAAATGCCTAATAGCACAAAATGTCCCTACATTTGGCCTGTAGTGTGCAAAATATCCATACGTTTCAAATTGATGAAAATGACGTTTTCCACAATGAAACGTGAAAATAGGGATGAAAATGCAAAAGACATTGAAACGTATGGACGTTTTCTTCAAGAAGTGTCAAAGGTATGGACGTTTTCCATAAGAAGTGTCAAACATAGGGATGTTTTCTGCTATTAGGCCTTGATATGACAAGTTTTGGTTATACTCGATCATTTATCCCGAGGACATTTTTTTTTATAAACTTGCAATTCCACACATGGAGTGCTCGAGCATATTCTCCTCGGGGGTATAATGCTCGAGCACTTCCAATCTTGCTGCTTCAACATTTTATGATCCATGTCCTCGAGCATGAGTTGTCCTCGGGTATATGTTCTCCTCATAGCCTACGATTGTTGACCCTTTAGAATTTCTATGTAATTGGGATTCTAACTCAACCATATTACTTAATACTTGACTCCTGCAAGGATTCTATCCCAGGCATAATTATGGCATTGATCCAATTCCCTCACCTAATAGGACTTCGCTGGATAGAGATACCCAACTAGTTGAGTCCCACTAGGAAAATGTCGCTTACTATTATAAATATAGGACCATGGGTCATTGATCAGGTACGTTCTCATTATTTTTAGTTTATAAAATTACGCACATAATTCCCTTTCTAATTTAAGCATCCGAGGGACGACAAAACATACATCGTTGCCTTTGTTTCAGGTACCGGAAGACTGCGATCATGCTCATTCAAAATCCTCAAGCTCGGGAAATCAACAGGTACGATTTTTGGAATTATCATTGGCGTCGTCTGTGGGAAACACTACCAAAAGTCATGGTTAACATACGATCAGGTCTTCCCCCCGCAAGCTCATCCACTCCCATCCCTCATCATGCTGAAGATCAACCGGCTCCTCAAGAAGAGTCGTCAGGAGTGCTCGCACCTCAGCCGATGGCCATCACAACTGAAGCCTTCGAAGAGCTCCGTTAGCAGGTGGTCACGCTAACGCAATTGTTAAGTCAAAGAAATTCCCATCCGTCACCGGTGCAAGTAGAGTATGGTGGTTTTATGGCTGATACTCGAGCCCTAGCACCAAACCCTGCAACTGGTGGAGTAGGGACCTCGGGTATTCGTAACATGGCCTTGGGCTCGAGATCGATTGTTATAGATTTTGGAGAGATTGCCCAGATCATTTAGGAAGGAATTATGGATGGTCTGCAACGGAATGCTCGGGGGCCAACGGGTTTTACCCCTAACAGTCTATTCACGCCGGAGATATTATCATATATCCTGCACGACAGATTCAAATATCCTCGCATTAAGGAGTATGATGGGACGACTGATCCAATCAATCATCTCAATGTATATACTGAAGTCATGAATTTGCAAGTTGCGTCGAATCAAGTTATGTGCAAAGCCTTCCCGCAAATGCTGACTAATGCTGCTAAGGATTGGTTCTCGACATTGGAGCCCAATTTCATAGCCTCATTCTCAAATTTGGCTGATAAGTTCTCAGCCTTCTTTGCAAGTAGCAAGTATATCAGAAAGATTGCGGCCTCTCTTATGCAACTTCACTAGGGACCAAATGAAACCCTACGAGGATTTATGACAAGGTTTAAGAAGGAAAGACTTCAAATACCTGACCTTGACATTACGGCGGCAGTTTCTGCCCTCACCCATGCCATAAGGTGTGAAGCCTTCAAAATGTCCCTATCAAAGAACCCACCGCAAACAGTGATCGAGCTACTTACACAGGCTAAAAAATATATTAATATGGAAGAAACGCTGAACCCAAGGAGACCTGGTCCTTCTTATGAAAGGGCTGAGAATAAGAGACAGCATGACGTTACCTCCCAACCCGACCATATCCTCGGGACAAGCGCAAGAATGAAGGGTCGTCAAGGCCCCTCACCCGGTTGGACACAACCAAGGAAAACATTTTGATGGAGATCAAGGATATGAAAGAGTTGAAGTGGCCTTCAAGGATGAAGTCATCCCCTGACACAAGAGATAGGAGCAAGTATTGTGAATTTTACCAAGATCATGGGCATACCACGGAGGATTATCAAGCCTTACAGCGGGAGGTTGAAGTCCTCATCAAAAGAGGGCTCTTAAGAAATTATATCGATCATGATAAACGCCCGAGGAATCATCGTGACAATCGAAAAGAGCCTGGAGTAGGAAGCAGTGCTCAACCCACTGCTGGGACCATTAATATTATCATTGGAGGCATAGCATCTGGAGGAGACACAAACAGTGGGCGAAAGCAGCATGCCCGTCGACATGCTCATACCCCAAAGGAATCCCATGACGAAGTGAAAGACATTACCTTTGGGGCAAATGATTTGGAAGGAGTATCATATCCTCATGACGATGCCTTGGTGGTCTCTGCAATTGTGGCTAACTTCGAAGTAAAGAGGATTCTGATCGATAATGGGAGTGCAGCAAATATACTATCACAGGAAGCTTTTGCTAAGATGGGGATCTCTCCCAAACAACTCAAAACAGTTAAAACTCCTCTACAGGGATTTGGTGGTAGAGTCATTATCACGGAAGGAATCGTCGAGCTTCCGCTTACTTTGGGCTCTGACAATGTCCAAGTGACGGAGATCACACCCTTCCAAGTGGTTAACACTTATATGGCTTACAACATCATTCTGGGAAGACCCCTGCTGAACAAGATCCAGGCAATTGTATCAACTTTCCACCTGGCTATGAAGTTTCCAACAGGTCATGGCATCGGAGTCGTTCGAGGAGACCAAGCAGCTTCCAAGTAGTGTTTTATTACTATCATCCGAGGAATGAGTACATATGTCATGCAACTTTTGGACCTCGAGCTCGAGCCAAGAGGTAGACTTACCCCGGTTGAGGAATTGGAAGTGGTGGAGCTCGAGCATGAAAAAATGGTAACTATTGGTCGGGATCTCAAAGCCAGCCTCCGGGAGGAAGTCATCAATTGCCTGTCCGTAACATCGGTATTTTTGCATGGAAGGTCGAGGATATGCCAGGGATAGACCCCGAAGTAGCGGTCTATAGGCTCAACATAAGCTCAGGGGCCAAACCTGTTAAGCAAAGAAAGAGGTAGTTTGCGCCAGAAAGGCGTATGGTCATTCAGGAAGAGATCAGCGAATTGGTGAGAGCGGGGTTCATATGGGATGTCCACTACCCTGATTGGCTCGCTAATGTTGTTCTTGTGAAGAAGGCTAATGGTAAATGGAGGGTCTGCATCGACTTTACGGATTTCAATAAGGCATGCCCTAATGACTGTTACTCGCTCCCCAGGATAGACAATCTTGTGGATAGCACGTCCGGACATAAGTTGTACAGCTTTCTAGATGCATTCTCAGGGTATCATCAAATCCTCATGGCCAAGGAAGACTAAGAGAAGACTTCATTCATGGCTGATTCAGCTATATACTGCTACAGGGTGATATCGTTTGGGTTGAAAAATGCTGGGAAAACATATCAGAGGCTCATCAACAAAGTCTTCGTCGATTTGATAGTGAAGAACATTGAGGCCTATGTTGACGATATGGTGGTAAAGAGTAAAAAGGTAGAGCATCACATATCCGACCTTGAGGAAGTGTTCGCCACCCTATGAAAATATCAGATGAAGCTCAACCTAGAAAAGTGTGTATTCGGGGTGGCTTTGGGAAAATTTTTGGACTTTACGATCACTCATCGGGGGATCGAAGCAAACCCCAATAAGATCCAGGCCTTGGCAGTAATGGAATCGCCCAGGACTAAGAAAGAGGTTCAAAAGTTGACAGGTAGGGTAGTAGCCCTAAACAGATTCATGTCCCGAGCAGCAGACAGGTGCTTCATTTTCTTCAGAACCCTCAAAGGCAGCCAATCCTTTGAATAGAATGAGGAGTGTGAGAAGGCTTTCCAGGAGCTCAAACAGATGTTGGCATTTCCTCCTATCCTCACTAAACTAGAGCCCGGGGACACTTTGTTTTGTACTTAGCCGTGTCTCAGAATGTAGTGAGCGGTGTCTTGGTGAAAGAGGTCAACAGAGCCCAGCAGCCCATTTATTATGTAAGTAAAGTCCTACTTGATGCAGAGACAGGGTACACTTTGGCCGAACAGCTTGCCCTTGCCCTGATAGTGATAGCACGAAAGTTTCGGCAATATTTTCAGTCTCATCCCATTGTGGTGCTCACTAATCAGCCTCTGAAACACATCCTTCAAAGGCCAGACGTCTCAGGCAGGTTACTAAAGTGGGCAATTGAACTTGGAGAGTTTGACATAGAGTTCAAACCCCGTCTGTCCATCAAAGCTCAAGCCTTAGCGAATTTCATTGCAGAACTCACCCAAGGCCTCGGGGGCCAGATGGTAGCTCAAGCACTAGAACAGATGTTTGGCAAATTTTTGTGGACGAAGCATCAAACTCCTCGAGTTCGGGTGCCGAGGTTATTATCAAGAGCCCAGACATGCTCATAGACATTCAATGTGCACTCAGATTCAAATTTAGGGCAACCAATAATGAAGCAGAGCATGAGGCTGTCATCATAGCCATGGAACTGGCTATTAATCTCGAACTAGAAAGCATCAAAATTTTTAGTGATTCCCAGCTGGTGGTTGGCTAGATTGACGGTACATTCGAGAAGAAATACGAGAAAATGAGCTTATACTGCTTAAAAGTTCATGATCACCAACGAAAATTGAAGAGCTGTGAAATTTTGAAGACCGTCCGGGCTGACAACTGCAAGGCAGACGCCTTATTAAGGCTGGTGTTCATGGGAGTAGACAGACTTGACAGGACGGTACATGTCAGATTTGTGACCGAACCCGTTGGGGTCATGGACGTTGATCAAGAGCTGTCATAGATGGACCCAATTGTAGATTTCATAACAAATGGCAGTCTTCCAGAAGATCCTCGAGCATCTAGAAGCATCCGTTTGAAAGCTCCAAGGTATTGCATTATTAATGGGGTCTTATTTCGTAGAAGCTTCACACTTCCATACCTTAGGTGCCTTAAGCCCTCGAAATCCTCCCAAGCCCTAGAGAAAGTTCATGAAGGAGTATGTGGGAACCATCAAGAGGCTCGGGCGTTGGCCTTTAAGCTCATAAGGTATGGATATTACTGGCCTACCATGAAGAAGAATGTCGTAGAATATGTGAAGAAACATGACAAGTTCTAGAGATTTGGCAATGTTATCCACTCTCCCGCCGAGGACCTCACCAATATCAGCTGCTCGACCCCGTTTGAGCAATGGAAAATAGATATCCTCGGACCGTTCCCAATAACGAGAGGACAATTGAAGTTTGTGGTTATAGCAGTTGAGTACTTTACCAAGTGGGTGGAGGCCGAGCCCTTGGCAACGATCTCGGAGCCCAAGATAAGAGCTTTCATTTGGAAGTCCGTCATATGCAGGTTCGGGATACCGAAGGTTCTCATAACTAATAATGGCCGACAGTTTGACAATGTACAATTCAAGGATTTTTGCTCCAACATAGGGGTTGACCACCGTCTGACAGTAGTTTCTCATCCTCAAAGTAATGGTCTAGCTGAGGTCACCAATTGGATTATATTACAAGACCTTCGAACAAGGATAGGAGATGCAAGGGGTTCCTGGTCCGACGAATTGCCTTCCATACTTTGGACTTACAGAACATCCCATAGGACTACCGCTGGAGAGACCCCCTTCATGTTAGCTTTCAGAATCAAAGATACCATTCCCATTGAAATAAGGTTACCAAGTCAAAGAAGACCTGATCTCGAAGAAACAGGGCGCACCACTGAACATCTCAACCTCTTGGAAAAAGTTCATAATCAGGCAGCCTTAAGAATGGCCTCTTACCAGGACATAACAGCAAAGTATTTCAATAGAAAAGTAAGACTTCGAAGATTTAGAGCCGGAGATTTGGTGTTAAGAAGGGCCGAAGCTGCTGGTTATGCTCTGGGAAAACTCAGCCTAGTTTGGGAATAACCCTTAGAAGTCATACGACAGCTCCCAGGAGGTGCATACAGTTTGAAGGATATTTCGGGAAGACCACTCCCAAGGCCATGGAACGCCAAAAACTTAAAAGTATATTACAAGTAACCCGCTCCACCATGTTTTAGAAATAAGGCCTTCGTGCCAAGTTTATTTTTTGGCCTACATGATAAGTCAATTTTTTTTCAATAAGGCCTCCGTGCCAAGTTTATTTTTCGGTCTACGTGCCAAGTCAATTTTTTCAAAAAGGCTTGAGTGCCAAGATAATTTATAGAGTATATTACAATTATAGTTAAATTCGATGATCTACAAATAAAAGCTTTGCCCCGCGCAAGCAACTCAAGCCTTGTCCCAAATAAGCAAATCAAAGCCTTGCCCCGTGCAAACAACTCAACATTTGCCCTGCGCAAGCGACTCAAGCCTTGCCCCAAGCAAGCAAATCAAAGCCTTGCCCCAAGCAAACAACTCAAGCCTTGCACTATGCAAGCAACTCAAGCCTTGCTCCGCGCAAGCACATATTAGATACCAATCAGGGCAGACAAATCCCAAGTAAAATTCCTGAGCACATAGAATCCCGAGCACAGTGGTGATGAAACTTATGAAAAAGGCCCGGATTGTCCTTGGGAATTTAGCTCGAGAATCACACATCATAGGTCGAGACTGCCCTTGACCTCAAGAGCAAGAGAACAAAGGTCATCAAAGGTAATAAGCTCGAACTTATTTAATTTGAGCATCCGATCCATGCTCGATCTGCTGAACAAAATCTTCGGGATAAGGACCCAAGGTTAAGGTTGAGCATTAATTACAATTGTTATCTTGATTAGTCCTCGAGATAAGTTCCATAATAAGGAATGACCCTAAGATCAAGCTTTAATTACAATTGTTATCTTACAATTTAGTTCTCGAGATAATTTCCATATTAAGGGATGACCTTAAGATCGAATTACTACATTTGTCTGAAACTTCATATGGATTAAGTCATCGAGATTTTTGAGCAGTTTATAATCCTCATCCAGTCGTCGGGATAACGTTTGAAGGTCGAGATCATTGTCATGATCGAGTTCATTACTTGGTAAAATTCCTAAACTAAGCCATCGAGATACGACCTTAATGAAATATTGACCTCTGTTATCGAGCATAATGGAAAACTAACAATGCAGCAAAATCGAGCATTCATTTCAAAAAAATATTCTTTTCAAAAAGGCCCGAAGATAAGGCCGGGCAATGTACATGACAAAATATAATCTGGGTGGGGGGCTTAGGATGTTCTATTCTTGGTCCTCATCCCTGGGAGCAGCGTCACCATCCTCGAGCGTATCCTCATCCTCGACCATGTCATCGACTGTGTTGTCAGAATCAGACAGCTCAAGGGTCTCAGCTATGCCAGGGATCATTTTGAGCTCCCCAGGGGCAACCTTGGGCATCTTCATCCTGAGGAAGGCCCGAGCTTCTTTAAGGGCATGAAGGTACGAGCCTAACGCATACTCGCCCATCAGCCTATCCATCTCATCGGACTTTTTAAAGTCCTCGATTGCAGAAGCCCGAACCTCCTCAACCTTAGCCCCAAAATCTTTATTGAGCTGTTCAAGCTCGAGCTTTAGTTCTTCAGCTTCGTCCTTGGCAGCCCCCACTTCATCCCGACCTTTCTTCAGCTCATTCCTCGCATCCTCGCGCTCCCTCTGGAGCTGAGATCGATCAGTCTCAACATTAGCAGGCTTCTTATCTTGAAGCTCCACGGCCTCGATCAACCTTGCCATCTTGTGGGACTCGTCCATCCCTTGCAGTGAAAGTCCTCGGGCAACACTGAGTGTCTGATAATCAAAAATGAAAGAGGATAA